AAATATTCTTAGAATTTTCAACACCCTTGCACAACCTCCTCAGAGAGAATTCATATTCAATTTTTCATATTCTTACAGAAGAGGATGCCAGATGGTTGCAAATTTCTTAGAATACTTTTTACAAATTTGTAATGAAATTACCTAATTATAAAATATCTTTAAAAGACATTTGCATACAGTTTTACAATTAACAGTTTTTGTAGTAAAAGGCCTTGTATTCTTCTGGTTTGATTCTAAACTAATTGTAATTTTGGGGTTTCTTTTGTCTTGACCTAGCTTTGGCTATATAACTGGTCCCTAATATTTGATATGTTAGTGTCTTGATCTTTATGCCATCCACAATGAGTTTTGCATTATTCCAGGTAACTATATTTCGATAGTTTGAGCATTTAAAGAAGTCAATTGAAATAGTTTGCAGAAAAAACAAACTGGATAGTCAACCTACTTTGCCAAGGTAAGAAGTTAAGCAGTTCTTTTGCGATAGACCAAATTGAGATGGATCATGGACATATGTAACTGAAGTTGTCCAGTTATCTGGCCAATAAGGATGTTGACATTTTCCTTTATGCAAAAGAAACAATTTGATAACTTATACAGAAATGTGGAAAATAGCTTTGAAAACTAGCCTAATTGTTGGGAGCAGTTCCTGAGTCCCTCTTTTGCCGAATTTGCTTTGAAGAGACTCTGAGCAGCCTTCACTGGTGAGCCCCTTAAAAGAACAAGGGACCTAACAAACTGAATTTATTTTCTGTGCATAGGGAAACTTGCTCCAGGCCTTGTAAGGAGAGGTGCTTGAGCTCCAGCAAATGCCTCCACACACAACTAGAAAGATCTAGGAGCTTGACTGATTTAGCCCCTGGTGTGTTTATTATGTCTAAAAGATATATAAAAAACCCAATTTTTTTTATTGATGATATTTGATGATGCTCAATCGAGCACCTAGAAAGTTGACAGTGCTCAGTTTGTCAAGCACCTTGTTTCTGTTCCTCATAAGGCCTGACTTACACCAGGAGGCAGCAGGGACAGTGGCCCTTTCCCTCACAGAATCTAGAAATTCTCTTTAATTTACTATGTCTTGTCCTTTTTCCTAGGTGTTTTGCTATGTTTCCCTCTTTGAGTGCCAGCATCCCTGATCCCATTATAGATGATAAATCATTAAATATAAAGAGACAAAGATGAGCTAACAAAATCAAAATGTTCTATAACTCAAATAATCAAGATACCTTCGGATGAAATCTCTTCCAATAGAAAATCAGGTAAATTTTGTTCAAAAGCAAGCACGCGTCCCATCTCCTTCTTGATTAGGAAAAACTTATCAAAATCATCCAATTCTTTTAGTTCAAAAACAACCTGTTGGTAAAAAGTACAGTTTATTTAAAAGATAAACATGAAACTTACTGTTTAGAAATCTTTCATAAAATGTGTTTGATGCCATATGTACTTTTGGTGTATAGAACAAGTTGGTTCTAAGTGCTTAACTCTCAATTTTATGATTAAATGCAATCATCAGTAGACCTTTCAACCTAATGTTTTCAAAATTTAGTGATTTAAGATTTAATTTAATGAAAAACTCCAGGAGATTTGGCAAAAACAGGGCAAAAACACCAGAATTTGCTTGTTTATTTCAACAACATACCTGCGCAATGCTGTGATGGACAAACATTGATTTTTTATTGTTTTTGTCAATTCCCAAGCACTTACAAAAAGTTTTGTCATGAGGAAGATCATTGCTATCATTTTTATCACAAAAATGCCTCTGCTAAAAGAAAAGGGAGAAACAGGGAGGGAGTTTTAAGAACCCGGGAGACCAAGAGAAAGCAAGCAAAAACTGGTGTCTTCCAGCAAAACCCAGTCAGCATCAGGCAACTGAACATACCTTAAAAACATATAATTTAATTTCCTTATGACATATTGTCTTCCACTGTACCCATTTATCACAAGAAACCACTAAACTGTGAATGATTAGTATGTATACTATCTTTTTCTCTTCTAATGTGCCATTGTATCATTACAAAATACCTTAGCAATATTCAGCTTCTAACTGATTGCTGCTTTATTGTTGGTAACAAACTTTTGGTGATTTTTAAAATAGAAAACATTTGTCAGAAAATAAAGGAACGATTGAGTAACTCATTTATACGACATTTGGACAAACAAAACATTTATTCAACAATGTAAAGATGGCATTTGTACAATGTTCAAACAATTATCTTAAATGGTTTCATATGTACATAAATCTTTTTCATTCAAATTCTCCCTAAAAGAGAACTATTTTATTAGACCCGATAAACGTTTGGTTTGAAATAATTGAAAAAACATTTACCCAGGATGTGGATACAACTCAGGGGCGAAACTACTGGGGGGGGTATGGGGGGGGTGCTGCACCCCTCCAATCTTCAAAAAAGCAGATTTTGTCGGGCAAATTTATGGCTGCTAGTGTATCTGTCGGGCAAATCTGGAAATTTTCTTTAGGTCGCACTTTTATTGCTACTTTTTGCCCTAGGTTGGCTTTTTAATTCATGGTCTTTTCCCCCATCTTTTTTTCAATCTCCTCCCAGTTGGGGAAACAAAACAGAAAGGAGGCAAGAAACAGCAACATATATACATTTCTGTCTTTCGTCCGTCCACTGATCAGCGCTTTCGTCTGGAGCTCAACGCGCACATGTTTATCTTCGCCTCGAGATGAAGTCTGAAGTATTGATCGACAGCAAAAGTATAGACAGAAAGTAAAGTGTGTTTGATGCGAGAAGGAAATGAACACTGTGTATACCCCTCCCCCCTACTTTTTGCAAAACAAGTGAGCTTTTTTCAAAATCTTTTGTTGTGATTTCTAAATTTTCTCTTGAAAAGCCCCCCCTCCCCTCAACTTTCCATCCTGCCTCGGAGCCCATAGAACACTGACAGTTTTAGAAGCATCATGAATCAAAGCATGAAGGATATACCATCTCGGAATACGTTGTTGAGAAAATCAATCAATATTTTCTTTTCCAAATGTATGAAACTTTCATTCATGAAATCAAACATGTTTTAGAAATTTAGGTCAGGACATTTGAAGAAGACATCATTTGGGTTTTTAAACATTTCATAACATCAACAGGAACATAATAAAACTATTTACAATAAACATGATCAAACGTGAACACTTTTTCATTACAATGTGGCGTGAACAACTGACTAATGCAACTTCGAGGTCTAGGAACGAGTGAAGGATTAACCGCGTGCTGCTCCTTCACAACAATACATCCATAAGGAGTTATGCCCCAAAATTCTCTTAAGGTTTTACACTTACGGTTCGAAAGTATTGCACCCTTCGCTAGAAAATAGTCATACAGACGCCAAAGTTTTTTAACTAAAAAAATATGAATAACCATAACAAGTAACAGAAAGTTTTTATCAGTTCAAGCGGGAAGTAGTATAAAATTTATCAAGAAATTGTAGTTAAGATATGAATTGCAAAAAATCTTTCGAGTTTATTCTATTTCTGAACAATATCCCTACTTCAATCTCTTTTTTGAATTGCTCTCTTAATAGCTAGGTGATTTAGAAAGTGAAGACTTTTTTTATAGAAAAGACAGGCCTTACAAATGCTTGCTTATCGGAAACAAATGTTTATAGCCAACACCAGAAAAACTAGAGGCATATTTTTTGACTCAAAACAAACAGCCTGAGTCTAAAGACCCTCTCTCGGGCTTCCCCATGATTTCAGCCCTTGAGGCGATGTGCTCTAAAAATGAAGTTCATGTAGGACACGCCCTTTAATCAAGCATGCCACGCCCTTTAGTCGGGCAACTAAGCTTCATACCCCCCTAATGAAAATAGTTAAGTTTCGCCCCTGCATACACAGTCTAGTAAAGGCCTGCAAGAACTCGTGTGCTAAGAGCCTCAAGCCATCAACTTTACCGAAATCATTATTATGATATTGATTTTCTGATTGTTGTTGAGGGAGGGGCAGACGGTGAGAATTTACAGCCTCGAGATCTTGCCATATTTTTTTGATACGATTTTTTCTAGGCCCTATGTCAAGAATCTACACCATGTGTTACTTTTCTTGAAGTTGCCTTATATTAA